TGTATATATAAATATATATAATATGTATAATATATGTATATATAATATATTTTTATATATGTATAATATATGTATATATAACATATTTCTATATATGTATAATATGTCATATGTGTGTATATATACTCTCTCTTAGTATATAAGTATATATAAGTATATATGTATAAGTATATATAAGTATACTTTCTCTTATATAAGTATATATAAGAATACTCTCTCTTATATATGTATAATGTATGCATGTATGTATATATATACTCTCTCTTAGTATATATGTATATATAAGTATACTCTCTCTTATATAAGTATATATAAGTATACACTCTCTTATATATGTATAATATATGTGTGTATATATATATATATATATGTGTGTGTATACTCTCTCTCTTAGTATATAAGTATAGTATATTACAACTGCTACTTCTTCCCCATTGGCCCAACGGGCAATGGCTACTTATGCGATTTTCTCTCTCAAGTTATAACTTATAAATATATACAATATATTTACATATAATATATGTATATATAATATATATAATATATGTATATATAATATATAATTACATAATAATTTGTAAGTATATACTAATACATAACTATATAAAATATAATAAATTTAAACTAATTTTTAGCATTTTTTATAAAAAAAATTGAAAAAATTCCGGGCCGACCCGGAGCCCGACCCGGTTGGGCCCGGGCCCGGACCCGGCCCGGGGTACCCGGGTCCGGGCTCCGGTTTTGCCGGGCCGGGCTCCGGTTTTCCGGGTCGGGCCCGGATTTCCGGGCCGGGCCGGATGGAGAGACCTACCTAACCCTAACCCTAACCCCAAACCCTGAACCCTAACCTTAACCCTAACCCATAACCCATAACCCTAACCCTAAACCCTAACCCTAACCCTAACCCCAACCCTAACGAGCAACCTAGACGGAAATTTTCGTCTAGATTGCTTCATTTCCCGTCTATGTTGGTACACCTAGACGAAATTACGTCTAGTTTACTCCGTCTAATCTTATTCCGTCTAGGTTGGGGCAAACTAGACAAAATTCCGTCTAGGTTGGGGCAAACTAAACAGAATTCCGTCTAGGTTGACCAACCTAGACAGACATCAACCTAGACGAAAGTAAGAAATCCGTCTAGGTTGTCCTAGACGAATCCGTCTAGATTGCCAACCTAGACGGATTTCCGTCTAGGTTGCTCCGCTACTCTTTTTTTCTTCTTTTTTTTTTTTTTTGCTTGCAGATCTACGTTTAAAGCTATAATAATATTCAACAACAAAAGCGAGGCTACAAATTGGTGAGCATGTCAGACCACCTTAATGAAATAAACACAAGATCAATAAATACTACAACTTAAATATGTGCAAGTAGTGGGTTAAAAGTTTAAACATTGTGGAAATGTCGATGACATTACAGAATGCAAACATTATGATACGCTAAGCCTTTTTATGGGAATCACCTACAGCACCACAGAATGCACACTAGGCAATTCACTTTCGAATCCATTCATTATAGCCATTTGTAAATGACTTTCAATATTTGATCTACTTTCTGAGAGTTCTCCACCAATCCGTTCAAGAGAACCTAATAATTTCACAAATTCAAATACATAGTCACAACATGGAAAGAATAACAAGCTGAAGAAAAAGAACTGAAAAACAAATTTATAGATCTCACTGTTTCAATATACCTGCGAAATCCAGAAACAGTTCAGAATTGCAATTCTAGCATCTCTTGTATTTCATTAAGGTGGTCTGACATGTCACACAATTTTGCAGCTCGCTTCTAAGGCGCTGTTTGGTTCGCTATTATAAGGTGGAAAACTTAGAAAACCCCTCCACGTCAGATTTTTAGCCCTCCACGTCATTTTTTTGTTTTTGTTCATTCTTTGTGCCGCTTTGTTCGCTCGGATGGAAAGGGAAAACTCTGCTGAAATCGCCGCCACTAAAAAAATTTTCCTCTCCGTTTCCTTCCCAACAAGTGAATTAATGTAAAACTCTGTCACTGTCATTTTTTCCTTCTCTGCTTTTGTTACAAAAGTTTTCCTTTTTTCTATGTCGAACCAAACACAAAAAAAATAAATACAGTTGGTTGTCCCGCTATTTTTATGTGCGAACCAAAGCAAACAATCTATTTCTTGGAAAAGTTTAGAAAACTCAAAACTTGTGTTTCTTTACAGTTAATTGCATTCTCTATATCAAGGAAACGAACCAAACAGCCCCTAAGATTCTAAATTCATACGGAAGAAATGAAGAAAAACTAATTCAATTGAACACAAGGAGATAAGACTATTATCACAGAGTAATGTTTGACTAGCACTAACATCATTTATTTTGTTTGAATAACTATCAATGTGTCAAAAAGCTCCGGTATGAAGCTCACTTCATGCATTTTCAAAATATAAGCAGTCACAATTTTCTACACAGACAATGACCTATAATATCCAATTTATGAAACTCAATTTATTTGTTCAAAACTTATGGTAATTGGCATAAAGGCTTACAGTCTTGTGCTGCATGTATTCATCATATGCTTCAGCCACAGAAGATTATGACTAGAAGCACTCATACTTGAGAATTTATAGGGATGCTTATGCTAGAAGTACTCATACTTGAGAACATACATAAATCACTATGCAATTTATGTACAAGGAAGAAATCATGGTGAAAAAGAGCGACTTGTAACTATTCAATTATTAGAGGAGAAGCATTCCTAAGCAATACCACAATATCACTAAATGTACCAAATATTTAAGGGAAATAAGGTAGAATCCCCATTTCACAGAATTGAAGGTCAATTACTAAGCATTCTATAAACTAGATGAGACACTTTGTAACAAAACCATCCCAAGTAACTAAGCTGATCTTTAGCTTATCATCAAATGCAGGCCAGCAAACAATAACACGTTCAGTAATTACAAATAAACAGACACCCATAACAAATAGTAATATGAAAACTCGACTCGCTCAGCAAAAAAAAATTGATCCACGTGAATTTTAATACACTACATAATAAGCAATAAAGTTAAAGTTTAGAGGTAACCCCTAAAATGATCAATTTCAATAATCAATTAGCCTTAAAAAAATAAAACAAATTACCCAAATAATAGCGAACCTGTGATGGATTATGTCGCGTCGTCGCTCGCTTTGCCCGCGGATGGAAGGCGTCGACCACGGGCTTTGATCTGTTCGTGGTAGATTCCGAGAAAGGCGGACGGAAAACGAGGAGGAAGGCGAGAGAACCGAGAAGGGGGGAAGCAGAGGGTAGGTCGAGGCGGCGTTTATCCTATCTCAAGGGGTGGGCGAACGACGGCAGAGGGCGCGAGATGGGCGGCGAGGGACGAGATCAGGGAGAGAGCGGCGCGGATGGGGCGACGGAGGAGATCAGAGGAGAGAGAGAGAGAGAGAGAGTTTGCGCGATGGGCGGCGAAAGAGATCAGAGGAGAGAGAGAGAGGTCGGGTGGAGGGGGGGGATTTGGAAGAGGCCGTGTGAATTTTTTTTTTTTTTTTGGCGGTGGTGGGGAATTTAGGAAGAGGGAAATTTTCGCGGGGGTGGAAAATTTTGGAACGACAGAAATGAAATTGGAGGCGGAATAGGCGGGGGATAGGGTTTGGGTTTTTTATTTTTAAAAATCAAAAAGCAATTTAGACAGAAATTTGTCAACTTAAATGGAATTTCTATTTAGGTTGCTTTTTAATTTTTAAAAAATAGAACAATTCCATCTAGTTTTCTAGTCTAGACAGAAATGTCCGTCTAGAATGCCGCAAACTAGACGGAATTACTTCCGTCTAGGTTGCCTCAAACTAGACGGAACTCAATTCCGTCTAGTTTGGTCATTTTTCTACTAGTGGAAATTTTATAGGCAGACACGCTACCATAACAGTACAACACTGTTGCTACTCGTTTCTGTCCTCTCTCTCTATCATGCTCTGTGAGGGGTGTTAACGTAGCGGATACGGCTCGGATATGGCACTTACCATATCCATATCCACTTACTCATCTCGGATACGGATACGAATACGGATATATGTTGGTAAGAAAAATTCATATCCATATCCGCCAAAATCGGATACGGTTACGGATATAGATGGGGATATATAAATGGATATGTATGCGGATACAAAAAAGATATGAGAACACTAGATAGTATTTAGAAAAATATAGTCATGTGATTAGGGGTGTCCAAAAAGCCCACCGGCCCGGCCTCGGCCCGGAAACCCGGGCCAAGTCCGGGCTCCGGCCCGGGCCCGGGCCGCCTTTTTGTTGCCCGGCCCGGCCCGGAATAGTGTTTGTTTTTTTTTAATATGTATTGTATATGTATAATATATGTATATATAATATATTTTTATATATGTATATATAATATATGTATATATAATATATTTTTATATATGTATAATATGTGTGTGTATATATACTCTCTCTTATATGTATATATAATATATTTTTATATATGTATAATATGTGTGTGTATATATACTCTCTCTTATATATGTATAATGTATGTATGTATGTATATATATACTCTTTCTTATACTATACATGTATATATAAGTATACTCTCTCTTATATATGTATAGTCTCTCTTATATAAGTATACACTCTCTTATATATGTATAATATATGTGTGTATATATATATACTCTCTCTCTTAGTATATATGTATATATAAGTATACTCTCTCTTATATATGTATAATATGTGTGTGTGTGTGTGTGTGTGTGTATACTCTCTCTCTCTATTAGTATATATGTATATATAAGTATACTCTCTCTTATATAAGTATATATAGGTATTCACTATCTTAGATATGTATAATATGTATACTCCCTCTTATAAAGGTATACTCCTCTCTTATATATGTATACTCCCTCTTATATAAGTATACTCTCTCTTATATCTATCTACCCTTTAAAAGAGGGAGTTCCAAAAAAACTTTACCCTCCCGAAAATACCCTTCCACCAAATTTAACTCAATGTTTGGGTACCGATGTGTTTTTTCGATTTCCGTTTTTTTTCTCATTTATTTTCCCCCAAACCGACGCCATCCCCTTTTCTCCCCTCTCAACCCCACGTCGTCGCCTCTCCAATTCGCCGACTCCCTCATGAACCGATCTTTCCAAAAAACCTAAAAATTTGCTCCGAGTTCTTTAGATTTCGTTAGTTTCTGGCTCGATTGTTTGGGATTTGATCGGAGATGGCGGATGTCGACACTTGACTCTGAATCGTGGCTGTTTCTTGTTGATTCTACAGAGCCAAAGAAACAGCCTGAGGTTATGATTGTGAGATTTTGTGATATTGGGAGATCTCTAGGGTTTGGTCTCGAGTGTTCTATTGTGGTAGCCGGGAAGGACGAGAAGTTATTATCATCATGATAATCTGATTTTGGACTGCATGTGATGTTTTCTCTCTTTACAGCATGTTCTGATCTTGATTCCTTTTGTGGATAGGCTATGTTTTTCCTGAATTTCAGCAGTGAACAATTTGAGGCCTTCAAGTCTAAGTATCTTGAGGTGGCCTCAACCTTCAAAGGAAATGGTATAAGCTTTCTGATTGAAGACCTTGATGCCAGTCAAGGTGCTTTTCAGGTAGTTAGCATGCACTTATTTTGACTTCTCTATTTTATGAAACATCTAGGTTGTCTCCTTACAAGTTTTACATGTTCAAATAGTATTTCGGCCTTAAAGAAGACCAAGTACCTCTTGTTGTCATACAAGAAAATGATGGGAAGAAATATCTTAAGCCAAACGTGGAACCTGATCAGATATCCAACTGGTTGAAGGAGTACACGGTAATTTGCTTTCTTCTACTGTTCTAATGAGTATTTCTGCCTCTGAAATTTACATATAAGGGATTGACTTCTGGTCTTTTTGACTTATCCATACATCCAGGAGGGCAGCTTAAAACCATTCAGAAAATCAGAGCCAATTCCTGAGGTTAACAATGAACCTGTCAAGGTGGTGGTTGCTGATAACCTGCATGATGTGGTTAACTCAGGGAAAAATGGTTTGTTTTCTTTCTCCCTATTAACATCTCTTAGTCTTTTTAATTACGTCCTTAGCTGATCGCGATGAGGATGATCGCGATGAGGATGCTGCTCGTGATCAGGTATTAGATGAATATTCATTTAATTTAGTGTTCTGTTTTGATGTTTGATGAATGTTGGTTCTAAAAGTAGAAACTTGATATTTTGGTTTGTTTGGATATCTTTATTCTATTTTTAGTGAAAAATTAAGTCCTGCATTGCTAAAATAGTGATGGTTGGTAGGTGGATGGAGGTGAGGGCATGAGTGGCGATACTGTTGGTAATTCCTTACGAGGGGATTTGTCTGTATTTGATATGGATCTAAAATTGTGAAAGTTGCTTTATTAAAAGATACATTAATTTGGTTGACAGGAAATACAGCTGCATAGGTAAGTATTCTCGTATGTTTAGATTTGCTATATTTTGGATGCTAAATTGTAATCGGAAAAGATAAGTACAATCATAATTTGTTTTAAAAAAATGCAGATTTGATGGGAGCAAAAGATACAGTTTTCCAAAAAAAAGAAATTGATAACGAAAAATATGTCACCTTATCAAATAAATTTTTTGTATAATTCAATCTAGAGAAACCAACGCAGGTTTTGCACCGATTGGTCTTTAACCAAATATTGAATTGCACTTGAAATACATTTTTCGAAAGAAAATTGCAAATAGCCCTGACAAATTTATTTGAAATGGATTTTCTACAATGTGTAGCATGCAGCATTTACTACGATACACTTTTGCCTCATATCAAACCTGCTCCAAGTGCGAAAGTAAATTTCATCTACATGTAAGCGAAGTATGATGTTTGTTTACAAATAAGTTGTTTTTTGAGCATGTTTCACTACTACTTATTTTTTGAGTCATTATAAGTTATTTATTACTTATTCTCAACAAAATTTATAAGTATTAACTTATAAGGAGATATAAGTAGTTATATGTTTGGTAAATCAATAACTTATAAGGTCGGGTTAAAATTTTGAAATTAAAGTGTGATACCGTGCAATTTCCTATATATATATATTTGCATTATCATACTAATTGAAATTAGTCTCGTTCTGTTTTCTACATACTTTGGAAGGATGGACTTAGGTTCTGATGGGTAACTGCACTCTTGAATTCTAATTTGTTTTGTTTATTTTTTCTTCCAGTTCTATCCGAGCTTGAACCGGTCAAGATGTTGCATGAAAGGAATATGTACAGGTATGTACCGGATTTTGTTCCTATTGATGAGGTAGTTCTGTTAGATACACCTCAGATTTTTTTTAGTCCATCGGTTAGCCTTCTCGCCGTCCCACGATCTTCCAGTCGTCTTCCTCTCCGCCGAAGCCAAAGAGTCCATCGGTTAGCCTTCACTCCGTCCCAGGATCTTCCATTCATCAATTTGCAAAGATGACTATTTATGCCCTAATCATCAATGCGACGCCTACGCATTCATATCCACAATTTTCAGAATTTGGGCATTCAGGAAGGTATTTCTTCTTCTTCTTCAATTCTCTATACAAAAACCTAGATCTAAGCGTTAGTTCTGCTCAATTCTCCCTATTCCCTTAAGTTCTTAAGTCCTCTCATTTTGTTCTAATTTAGCCCTAATTCTCCGCATTCACCTACTTATTTTACTCATTTTGAAACTTCTGCTATTTGTGGAGGTGCTATTTTGCAAGCTTCCGGTTTGTTTAGTGTGATCTTAGAGTAAGTAGATGTGCTACTAAAAATAACAGAACATGTTGCTTGTGACATTTGATTCAATTACATCTTATACTACATACATGGAGCATGCTTTTAAAATATTTTTTTAAAAAATGAGACTGAATATAAAAAGCACCATTTCTTTCTTCTAGAGGTCATCCTATAATAGCTTATTATCTGGTCCTTTATTATCTTAATGTTCTAGATTCTTTTTTAATGAAAGCATTGAGAAATATACTGTTTTATGCAAAGAAGAAGAAAGAAACACGTATAAATGCAGCTATGGACCTATAACAAACTTCTTTCATCCGACTGCACGCATGCATATTTACATCCCCATCTATGTTCGATTACCATCCAGAGTTCCCCCAAACACTTCAGTAGAATACTACCTCCCTTGTATCAGAGAGATTGAGTTATATAACAAAGTGTTTGAGGGAACTCCCGGGGATAAGCAACATGTTTGTAGTATTCATCAAGTAATTCCAAACCTATGAGGAAAATGTTGATTGCCCGCCAGAGTTCCCCCATACACTTCAATATTAGAGACGAAACGTCCTCAATATATACTTCGGATATCTTTATTGAAGTGTTTGAGGAAATTCCAGAGGACAACCAACTTATTAAAGTCACAC